AAAGAGTGACACAGACCTCCACCTTGTTCTGGGCAGCATGCATGAAAAATGTAGTCTTACCCTAATAAAAGTACAGAGAGAAAGCGTTAAAACAAATTTTTTAAAGGTACCTCTCAATGTTGAAGAGGATCTGAAACAATGGGTGGAAAGTAGGTCCAGAGACAGACGCACGCATGCTGGGGTGGAAGGGTGAACACTGGTCACACAAAACACCGCAGAGCAATAGGAAATAGGGATAAGGACCCCTAGCCTCCAGAAAGGAACAGGACACCAGGGTGACAGGAGTGCAGTAAAGTCAAGATCAACCATCAAAGCAGCCCCTGCAGACACTGTCCACAGGAATAGAAGCCACATCCTGTCACTGTGCCTTCCTGAACGGGCAGAAAGTAGCGGGAGGGAAGCACAAATAGACAGCAGAGCCAGCAGCGAGAGGTTGTATTTATTTCAGATAAAAACAAGTAAATTAGGCAGCTTCAAATGAAGTTAAAATTATATAATAAGGCTTCCAGAAGTAAACCCGAAAACCAAAACCGAATGCTGTCAAGTCGATTCCAACTCATAGCAACCCTATAGGACACAGTAGAACTCCCCCATAGGATTTCTAAGGAGCAGCTGGTGGATTTGAACTGTTGACCTTTTGGTTAGCAGTCGAGCTCTTAATCATTGTGCCACCAGGGCTCCACTCCAGAAGCAAGGACCATATATATCTTATCATGTCAAATGATAGAAGGTACTTGTCTTTACAGAAACGTGAATTACTTGATTCTTGACAGACTGAAGCAGTGAATATATCTGGGCCAATACATCAGAGCTGCAAATACGGCAACAGACCAACATGCTATCTTTATGTAGGTCTGTGTGTGTGTGTGTGTGTGTGTGTGTGTCTGTATGTGTATATATATGAACTTATGCAGTTGGAGAATGAAGATAAATACACCCTCCAGTCTCCCCTACACCAGATTCAATTAATCAGTCTCTCATATATCACACGTACACATGATAGAGGCCTCTGGGTGGCATAAGCGGTTTGCCATTGGCTACTAACCTAAAGGTTGGTGGTTCGAACCCACCCAGCAGCACCACTGAAAGAAAGAAAGGCCTGGCGATCTGCTTCCATAAAGATTAGAGCCAAGGAAATCCTATGGAGCATTTCTACTCTGCAACACATGGGGTCGCCGTGAGTCGGAATCGACTCAATGGCCACGGGTTTACGGGTGCATATGATAGTCAGTTCTCATTATTTACTCTCTGTAATGTCACTGCAGCACTGAATTAGTGAATACTGAACCACTGCTGTAGGGGAAATACAGGGTCAGGCTCCTTTGAGCCTCTGGTCATAACGATTTCACCGACGGGGCAATTCATAATCTTGTCTTATGTGTGTTTCTGCTTAAAGACACCTTATTTAGCGTATACTGTTGATCATCAGCAATGAACTCACAGTCAACAGCACTGTAACTAGGCCTGAGTGAAGCTTATCTAACTCAAGTATTTTCTCCATTAGGCACACCACAGCTTTCCAGCACCTAGGAACACTAGACAGCACTTCAGCACTACACTTGGGGGCCGTTTTAAACAGCGAAACCACCAACTAAAAGCATAAAACGTGAAAAAAGAGCAGTTGTTTACAGTGTCAGAGCTGAAACAAGAAGGCAGCGTCGCCTGGTTGACCTCGGCTGAGAACACGCTCATCGAGGGACTCGATCTTTTCGCCACTCTGTGCACAGCCGTGAATGACACAGACATGCCATGTGTGTACTAATAGGAGGTTACAAATAAATTGTAGTGAGGAGACGAATTCACAGGTGTGGAATCTGTGAGTAATGAGGATCGACACACTTCCCAGGAAAGGTTATTGAAAACATGTGCTGGGTTCAACCTCCTTGGCAACACTGCCAGATAACTAGAGGAGATTGGACAGGATAAACGTTGACCTGCAGGAAAACGTACAAGAAAGAGTCAAAAAGGCAAAGGAAAAGTGCAGGAAAATTAAAACCAATCGACACATATTGAGCTGGTCACCCTGTGTGATAACAAGCTTACACGTCAGTTTTGCAGATTCTGAGTCACTGAAGAAATCAAGTTAGTGTCATCTGATGCACCTGCCTAAATTAGAGCCCTCGGACCAGGTTCTGTGAGTGTGTTTTGATAAAGACGATCTCAAGGGGCCCTATCTCTAACCTAAATGCTCACTGAAAAGACAGAAGATTCTTTGCAAGCAAATTCATCGATTGCCTTCAGCCATGTGTGTTTTCATAAACTGAGTTGGGGCTTTAGAGGCCTTACAAAACGCCTTTGTCAAGAGCCCTATCACAGCCTCTCTGGGCAGACTTCTTCCTCTGCATGAAGGATGCCATTATCTGATACCTTCCTACACACTTGGGAAGATTAATGAAATATTGGTGTCTGGGTACTTGAGGAAAATTCCAACCATATTTCAAGTGAGCCCTAAAGTCCTTTCACCTTCTGGGCCTTTGAGAAGAGCCGAACTGAAACGTGTCACATTTTGCTCAGCATTCAGGCTACAGCTCACTAAACAAGAGCACTCACACATCTTGTTTCCTTTTTCTTAAAACCAAACACCCATTAATTAAGCAAGCCACTTCACCATGAAGGAAGGAGTGCTAACATCTACCACCTGCGCTCCACTCACAACTCTATCCTGAAAGAGACTGAACGCCTGCTAAGGGCTATAATGTTGATTGTTGTTGTCAGCTGTCATCAAGTTGGCCCTTGACTCATGGCGACCCCATGCACAACGCAATGAAACACTACCCGGTCCTCATGATGGGTTGCAAAGGAACTGTTGTGATCTACAGGGTTTTCATTGGCTGATGTTTGGAAGTAGATCACCAGGCCTTTCTTCCTAGTCCATCTTAGTCTGGAAGCTCTGCTAAAGTCCATCCAGCATCACAGCAACACACAAACACCCACTGACAGATGGTGGCTGTGCCTGAGGTGCATTGGCCAGGAATCAAACATGGAAAGTGAGAATTCTACCACTGAACCACC